ACAATAATAAAATATATTACAATAATGTCATATGTTTATCGAAATATTATATAGTACATAATATGATTGCAAATTAAAAATTAAACAATTTTAATTTAAATAAAACTATTTAAAAAATAGATACGTGGTTATATTTAAAAAAATAGTTATTTAATAATTTAAGCTACACGATTTAAATTAATTATAATTTTATTAAAATTATAATGAAGTAGAAGTACAAAAACTATAAGATTTTAGTTTTTTAAAAATATAAAATATATAATACACTATAGACTATAGAGCATGAAATTATACCGAATGTAAAATATCATTTAAAAATAATAAGTATAAACGCTAAACATTTAAAATTGATTGCAAGAGATCAAATTTGAAATATTTTAAAGATTTCCCAAACAAATGATTAACAAAGTCAGATACAACATTTTTGTAGAGTGAAGGACAATTATATTATAATCATTCAATTTCAATGAATAATAAAAAAAACATTTTTAACATTTTTAGGTATTGTTTTAAGTTTTAATTTTAATATATTTTTTTACGACAGACTAATATTTTAAAAATAAAAATGGAACTTCATTTACAGCTTTACGTTTTACTCTTTTAACTTAATATACTATGTACTATGACACGTTAACATTTTCAACCAGAAACTCACAAGTCACAATACTTCATAGGCAGAACCTGCATTACGAACCGGTTTTTCTTTAATCTTTACTCGGGGTCAATGTTAGCTCGAAGAACATGAAGAGTAATTTTTTCACAAATGGACAATAGCAAAACTTATTTGCACGATAAATATTTGTAAGATTGCATTTTTTTAATATACATGCAATATTTTATAAATACTTAGGATGATTTTAAAGTTAAAAATTGTTTATAAATAAAAAATTTAAACAACGTAATTCACACTCTAATATAATATATAATATAAACTATATATTATTATATTATTATACTTTATATAATATATTAATAAATAACTGAAAATAAGTTCTTTAAAACCATTATAGATTAGTAAGAACATCTACAATGAATAAATTATAAAAAATAAAATTCACACACATATTTTTAAAAAATAGATAGTGAAAATTAATTATTACAAAAAATAATTGTTATTAAAATAAAATTGCAAGTAGATTTTTTTTTACAACACGTTTAATTTGACAAAAATCTCATTAATGACTTCTTTAAACTCTTAAAGAATAAACTAGGTACCGACCTACCAAATAAATAGTATAAAATAAACAATTAATATATATTGATGTTAAATATTTAAGAGCTCGGAATCTAAATTCTTAAATAAACACAACACACACTACGTACATATTTTAAGTCAAAGTCAAATAATACATATTGATAAAGAATTTTTTTAAAATAACTGTTATTAAATGTTATTCCACTTACTTTATTCAAAATATATATTCATTTTATAAATTGTAATAATAATTAAGTTTTTTATTTATCTATTAATTGGTTCTTTACCACATATAAGTAAACAAAATAATTTAAGTATAAATATAAGTACAACATGGGTTATTAACACAATAGATCCTATTGTCAAGTGAACTATTATAATAATTCAAATGAAAGTAATGGACAGTAAATAATATTAGTTAACATATGTGAAAGGACTAACCTATTGTCTTTAATAACTATGAAGCTTTCTTTTAATATATAAATTGGATTTTTACAACTAGTTAAATTAAAACATGATAAATTCAAATTGATACTATTTAAATGTTTATTATTTATATTTGAATATATTGAATTTTTTATTTACTCGAATTTAAGATTTATGAGAATTGTATTCTATGATTTAAATATTTTTAATTAGTAAAATTAAAATGGATATTAAATTTATTTGGTTCATTTTTAGAATTTTTAGTAATGCTATGCGTATTTATTATATACGAGAAAAATAGATCGTAGAAAAATAATACGAGTAGTATATAAATGTAGTTAATAAGATTAATTTTTAATAGAACATTTCATTAAATGATAACTAAATTTGAAAATAAATATTAAATAACCAACACGAAGAATATAAGTTATAAATAATAACTCATAATATTTTACCCAACATTCTATTATTATCATTAATTAGAGAATTAAAACACATATTTATTGATTCGAGTGAAAGATCTCTAATTATAGATTCATAACATAAAATAACAATAATAACAAATAACCGTAGTAATAACATTATTATTAGCTACTTCTATAAGTTACGTTGTGATATTTGTATTTTTATGTACTTTCTATGCTAGGTTGAGTGTATTTTTAAGATCGGAAATTTCTAGATATTCTTTCCAGCATTAAATACGTCAAAATTAGCCAAACAAAATTTGTTAAATATAGTTTCGTTTACACAAATAATTAACAAATAATAATATGCTAAATAATAATTATAGTATTAAGTATTATTTGTACAACCTTCACGCTTTTTCACATATTTTACACAAATACATAAATTAGTTAATATACAATTGGTAGAAATAACATTACAAATTATACATTATGTTTATTTTAGAACTAGGTACTCAAGGGGTTAATTCTACTTTAATGCTTTGTCTCAATGATTTTAAGAATATCTTTGATAGAAGTTAATTTAAACAAAAAAGATATACTACCAATAGTAGGAAAAAACTTATTTCGACTAAAATATTGTCTATAGTTTAATGATTATTATACTTATGAATTATGATTTTGGGATGAGTTCAGGATAAAAATAAAAAATAGTCAAAATCAAAGAGAATAAGGATTGCTTATTTGCCTAAAGTACAGTATTAGGTATTTACAGATAATATGTGTTCAGTAAATGTGGGACAGAACTAGGTAAAGTAACAACATTATTTTATAATAGGTTAAATAAATACTATGATAAATATATACTTTTATTTCAAGAGACTTCATGATCATGATCCATACAAATCAATAATATAACAATTATTTACTTGATTAATTGAAGCCCTACATTGATAAAATCAAAAAGAGCTACAGTAAAAGAATGCACAGTAAAAATAAATTATAATGGTTAAATAATATATGAGTATTAAAATATAGGTAAATACATTTTAAAATTAATTAAAAATAGATATAGACATAACAATGTTAAATTAAATAAATCATTATAAAGTCGTTTTAAGAATAAGAAAAATTATTAGATAAGATGGGATCATCATTAGCAGTATTTATAACCATCTTATTAGCTACTTTTTTATGTAATAACTTTTAAATTGGGGTATATGCAATGACATAGGTGTATGGGTAAAATATTATAGAACTTTATAAAAGATAAAAGACCAAGAAAATCTATATCATTAAATAACAGACCACTTATAAAAATCTTATCTAAGATACACCTACAGTCAGCTTAAGATTCCAATACAACAATCTTTATGACTGGAGTGTAATCATGAAGTAAGCAGACAATGAATGGCTAAAATAAAATTTGCATTCCTCAAGAATTATCATTCTTTTAATAACTCTATTAAACAGAAGTATTGGTAGTATGTAGGTCCCAAATTAATGAGCCATACTCTAAAATTTGTCTTATTAGAGCAGAGTTCTTTACCATATTAGCCATGTTACTTAGGAAAAATTCTTTAATCCATCTTATGACAAACATAAGAATTTTCAACGCCTAACACATAAATGAAAGTTGAATTGATCAAATTGCTGAATTTAAAATCAAGTTCAGCAATATAACTATCCGTTCAAAGATATTTTGATAGTATTTATTTATACATAGTAATATTACATATACAGTTTAATCAAATTTTGAAAGCTTAATTTATCAGAAAAAAAAAACATCCAAAATTCAGAAGAAATTAAACCTAGATTTTATATAATGTTTAATATAAATGAAGATTTAGCAATTTAATGCACTTGACAAAAGAAATATTTTCAGATTGAAATATATCATCAAACTTTTCAATAAATGTAATTCATAGGAACATAGGAACTCCAATTATAAAAATCAACATGACACTATTAAGCGTAATACAAATTTATTGATATATGATGTCAATAAAAAAAAAAAAAATTATGAGAAAATCAAACTCTGCATTTTTTATTTGTATTATACTATATAAATATTAAATTTTAACATTTTAAGCGATTAAATACAACCAGCAGCAATTTATATTAACTGTTATTAATCTTGGGAATGTAATATAATGTGTAACCTTTTATAATCTGTTAATTTCAAATTTAATTACACTAAATTCCGAACCAAATTACTTTAATGTATATCAGAATCTATTAGAATAAATAATATTTTATCCTTATGAAAATATAGTTAAAATCCAGTAGTTAAATTTAAAAAACTACTAATTTATTTAGAAATACTTTATACTCAATGAATGAACGAATTATGTTATTAACATAATATTTATATATATATATAATTATTATACTTAATATCTTTATCTTCAAAAATTTATATGGAAACATAAGATTCAAACGATAATCTATTTGCTTTTAAACGACAACTAATGAGGAGTTTTAACAATGGGTATCACATAACACTACGGAATACGCAGTTTACAAAAGTGTTAGTATTAGAAATATACATATAAATATACACATAAATATACGACTCTTAATGAAATGTATTCAAACCATATACCGTATGAATTATTAACGCAAATAAATTAGTAGATATATGTAGCAATACTTTCACAGAAGAATCTACGCGAAACAGAAGCCTAACCTGCGGTGTTTGAAGGGACACTGGCCTAGGTATGTACACGTTGAAATATGAAACCAATTTATTTTTAAAACTTGATAAATTTATAGTGCGTTACGTCATTTGTTAAAATTAACCAAACGGTTAGCGAACTTTTGACGATAACCAAACCAAAACAAGTTTATTGTTGTTATTGTTATTTTTATTTTTACCACTCCCCGTGACGACCGTTACGCACCAGAAAACGAATTGAAGCGGCGAGAGCCTTGCGTAATCGGAAAAGGATGTTTTTGTTCCTTCGTTCACTTACCTTTTAAAGTAGGTATCAATTACAGAGCTTCGGAAGTCGTGACTTCCAAACGAAACCGACACGCACCCGCTGCACCGGAAAACACGGATCGTCGATTTATATTCTACCGTATAGCTGTTAGGTTGACGTCTACCGATTGGCGGACATTTACTGCGCCCGAAACCGTAAGTCGACGACGCGAAAATATACTAAATGTAAGTACCGCAACAACGGCAGTGAACGCGCGAATAATGTTCACCGGACTGTTACGGGAGCAGCAATAAGACGACGTGCGAACACGTCGGGAGCAATGGAACCACTACTAACACTGCAGACTCGAAAAGTCGGAACCGGCCCCGCGCGGAGTGGAAATTACAGTGCAACAGAGGGGCAATAAATAAACGCGTGATAGCAACACGAAATTCCCTGGCGGTCGCGCAGTGTGACCACCACCAGACGGACACGGCGAACGATATATATATATATATATATATATATATATATACCATATATTATGTAACATACCAATGATAAAGTAAATTTATTTTTCTAATTATTTTTAATTTACTTTATCATGGTATGACCGACGGGTTGGCAGCGGCGTCCGTTGCGAACGGTATTCGGGTTGCTTAGTGTAATGGAGGAGGAGAGGAAGGGGAGCGGTAGCGATGGTCACACGATCGAGCGAGTGGTGGTGGTGGTGTCTACGATACTGCGGCGATCGAGGTACGGTTCCGTTGTGTATGCAACGGTCTACGGATGGATGACCGTTGCCGTCGCGAACTCTTCATTCGTTTCGCGGTGGGCGGAGAGAATTCTTATTATTATTATTGTTATTATTGCTATTATTATTGTTGTTATTACCGTGATCATCATCGTTACTGTCGTGGTATCTTGTAAAGTTGTACACCCACCGCAGGAGGTGCGCGTAGATATTGTAATAGTATCTTTCTCGGTAGAAACACAGCTACTCTCGTTCGGGTTACGGATAGTGTATCATTGTTATTCTCTTTTTGTTTTTTTTTTTTTTTTACTACGGCAGGTAGAACGGGTGTACGCGTGGCGAGTTACACGGGTGTATCATTATCGTTGTTTCGCATACACACACTACGTGCAATTAACGAGAAACGAAAATGTTTAAATAAGAATGCAATTATAAACAGATCCCCGGCGTATTATTATTATTAAATGTATTTTAATATGGTTCTCACAGTGATTGTTAATACGTATAGGTTTGATGTGAACTGTTTATACACCTGCCGTACTCGTATGTACATTGTAGTAAAACAAATACATTTTTACTCCATAGCATCGGGCAACGGTTTTTACCCCGCGCGAACGTCACTACTGTTTAAGTTTAGGTATTGAAAACTTTAAAGCTAAAATCCTGTAGGATCCGATAAGTTATCGGATCCTGCAGGATTTTAGCGTAGTTCGTTCCGCCTAAATGATTATATAATGGCTATGCGCATTGTAGACAGACAGGTTGGTCACATTAAAAAGTATTATGTTAAAAAGAAAATAATGTGGATAAAATTTTCATATTACCTAGCTTGAATATTACCGAATAATTTAGTCTAGATAATATAACTAATGAATTCTAATAACAATTTAGAAACCATTATTATTTTATGATTTTAATTGAATTGTTATTATTTATTTTATATGATACAGAAAAGTTTTTCTGTTAAAAATCAAGTATAATATTATATTAACACTAACCATACTTTAGTACAGCGTTTCTCAAACTAAGGGGTCACGAGTCAATTTTTGGGGGGGTCGCTAGAGGTTTTTTTAATTATACAGATTGTAAGAAACAAGCACATTCATCACATACGCCTAATTATTAATTAAGTATTATATTATATATATTATATTATATTATTATTATTATAAATATATTATTATAATTATTATTATTATTATTATTATTATTATTATTATTATTATTATAAAGTAGTAAATAAGTAATAAAATAGAAAAAATTTGTTTTTTGAAATTATTTTTATTGATTCTGTAAATGTAAAACTATGGTCGTGATAGATTTTTGGAAGAAAATTTGGGTCGCGGTCCTAAAAAGATTGAGAACCACTGCTTTAGTATATTGTATTACAAAAATCAGTTTTGTATTTACTTAAACGTATTCAATTTTAGAGTTATGAACGGGTTATTTATTTACTAAGTTCTGCAAACCAAAACTCTTCCATAAGCGTTTAATCGAAAAAACAAAAGCGTTGAAGTTTTTACATTGAAATTATTACTTTTATATATTTTCTAAAAAAATTACCTTTAAAAAATTACCTTTATATACTTCGGTATGAAATTATTATTTTTATATTTGTGTTTTTACTTCATTCAATTTGATTAAGGTTAGCATTATTCGGATAGTATTTATATTTAATATTTTACATTAAGTTTAGCCATGGTAGAACGAATATTGGATTTCTTTTTTACCTGAGTTTTCTTTAGTTTTTAAATAAACCTAACCTATCCCAACTTAGGCACTTCTTTTCACACGCATAGTCTAGGTCAAAGACCTTAAGTTGACCCCTCTTTCATATCTAGTACCTACTGAATTTTAATGTTTAAGTTCAAAACTTAACTTAGAGTTATAACATAGATACAAATCTAACAGTCAATAAAAAATAATAATAAAAATAGGAACCTCGCTTTATACTACATACTATGGTAAGTTGTGTTCCAAGCACATGGCCAAGATACATTCATAGTTAGGTGAGATTTGCGGAATAAGTATTTCTACAATTTTCTTGAAGAAGGTAAGTAGTATATAATTTTTTCTTAGATATTTTTAATATGTAACTAATGAAATGGTTGACAATATAAAAATTCTAAACTTTCATATAATTGTATAATAGAGGTTCTATAACTTAATACATGAATAATTAATAGGCGTCGGAGGGTTCTCAAAAAATAAAAGTGATTTTTTATATTTAACTGCAAAATAATTTCTTTATTATAACTAAAGCCTTAATAATAACCAACATTTTTCAAAAGTTAATTATTTTTTTTCAGTATAACTTTGGAATCAGTAGGTAACCTATTGAAATTGTGCCATGAAGGCTAATTTTTAAATTCCAACGAAATAATCTAAATCGGTCGATAATATCCGAGCCAAATATTTAGTCTATACGATTATAACAATATCATTATATCAGTTGATATTATTTTGAAATACTTGTGTATAATATTGTTCAACAAAATATAATGTATAGTACTTTATTATTTTTATATACACATAAAAATTCTCCTGTTTGTAAGGTTAAATAATAACTAAAATTACTTATTTATGTAATTATATTATTACCTGTTAATGAGTTGTTTTTAAATTATGAATTGTAAAATGAAAACAAAAAAAACTAAAAATATTATGAATAGTACCTTTTTATATATCGTTAAAAGCCTGAACTACTTGTGTGATGATTCTACTCAATAGTTACATCTCACATGCTAACATCTCACACCTATAATTATGTTTTTGGAACTTAACGAATTCTAATTATAATTGTGTCATTTCAATTTTCACCAAAGAGAGAGTTGTATAATAATGTTCAGCAAAATAAAGTAGCATAAATAATCTTAACCGTAATATTCAGTCTGCTTCGCTGTTTTTCACAATCATATGGCTTAATGTATGAATATTAATTATACCTTTAGAACTAAATTATAAAGATTACTTAAAATTAAAATAATCACATTTTTGTTTTTTATAGCATACATATATGTATTAAAAAATAAATTTGTTGTATAGTTCACAAATAATGTAATAATAAAATATAATAAAAAAATTATTAAAACAATCAAGGTAGAAATTTTTAAATAAATTACATATTAAAATAGTATTAAACTCTTTTATTTTGTAAAACTATAAGTAACTATTTTTAGTAGATTGATTAACGATTTAAATGGTTTGTATTTTAAGCCCTCTTCACAAGCAATAATACCATTCAATATAATAAAAAAATTCAATTACATCTCATTTCACGAGTAACTACCATCTAATTGCAATGATTTACATTATACTCCTTGATACATAGTAAACCATATGGTAGTAATGAGTCTCCTAATTAATTTTCAAAATAATGTTCATTCAATTTACGTACTAAAAACTATATGAAGCTCAATAAATTGATTCTTGCATGTTTAACTATTATAAAAGATAAATTGATTAGGTAGTAAATAAATGTTAACAGTTAATAATTGAGTATTAGGTACAAGTCTTAGTAGTTTAAAGTAAACCTTAAAAATAAAAAGAATAGCATAACCAAATATTAGGTAATGATGGATATAGTTTTAAAAAGAGCCGAAATTCATAGGTGGGGTGAGATACAGAGATGAGGGAATGCTATATTGATATTTTAAACTTGAAACCAATTCATTGATTTCGAAAAAAACGATTCTGAATGAAATAGGTTAAATGAATCAATTTTTATTTCAAAATATTGTTGATACAGTAGAAGAATTAAATGTCTTTATAAGGTTGAATTTGTAATGTTATAACTTTCAAAAATAAATAAATAAATTAAAATTGGAAATTTCTTGTGCCTATAAACAGTACAATCTTCATAAAAATATTTCGAAGTTAAGAAATGTCTAAGACTAAATAATGAACATTAATTAATGAAAATTTATCGAAATATCCGATTTCGTAAATATTTAATTTTTAATGGTTCTTAAAATGTTATGAATTTTTGATAGGAAACATGTAGTCGATTATTGTGATTTTTATCATTTTGTTAAAATTTTATATTCAAACATAGATACATTTTTTTTTTTTTTTTAATTGAGCTCAATTTATTTTCATTCATCAATAATAAAGATGGACGGGAAACTTTGCATTAAATGTTCAAGATTATTTTTGTTGAACTATCGAGATTTTCGAAAAAAAAGATAAGACATTTAACATTTTCAATTATAATTTTAAATCTATAAAAAGCTCGAAAAAATCATTCAAAAATTATGCCATTTATGACGAACGATTAAATAAATATTCAATGGAAATTTCAATGTTTTACGATTATTTTTTAAGTTGTGATAAAAACAAAAATTTGATTCTATTCAAAACCGATATGCCGTAAATTTTGCTGTTTTTTAATAACTCATCGTTATTATTGAGAAAACTGTGAGAAAACTCATAAAATGTCCGTCAAGATAATAACAAGAAAACATTTCCTATTCTCCTGGTCGAAATCATGTACCTACACAATTACAAAAAAATTAGTACGGGACAAAATAATATAAAAATAAAATATTTGTTTTTATTTTTTATTTTTTATTCATTTTTCTCAATTATTCGAAAAACAGTTGAGAAATTAAAAAATGTAAATATGTAATTAAATAAAAA